CTGGAAGGATACAGCACGGAGAGTGGGCAGGGAGGTGTCACTCACCAGGGTGATGTGGTGGTTCAGGGTGAGGATGGGACTGTGAGGGGCTGCACTGGGGCTCAGCAGTGCCAGAAAACCCCTGGTCTGGGCTTTGGGTGGTAGACTGGAGCCACTGTGTCACTGGAGCAGGTTTCTTGGATGCAATGGTTAGATCTTAGAGATTAAAGCAATTTAGCCCTGCCTCATCCAAGCCAGCAAAGAGCACCAGGATTGGGGCTGAGGATGCTCTGGAATCCTCCCAGCCCCTCACCACCCCACAGGGACCCAACCAGGGCACTGGGGACCACACAAGAAATCCCCACCCATGGCCTCACCAAACTCAGCCATGTCCCTGGGGCTGGATGAGGCTGTGGCTGGGTTTTCCAGGGAGGGATGCATGGCAGGATGGCGTGGCCGTGGCCCAGGGCTGGCTCCCCAGACAGCACTGCCACGCTGCTCTTCAGCAGCTCTGTTCTATCATCGAATTTTAATTTAGTTAGTTGAGTTCTTTAAACAGTGTGAACTTGCTAAGTGCTTTGCATATTTTATACTCATGAGTAACATTTATCAAACAGAAAGTACAATTAATCAAAGAGGGGAGCGTTTGTAACTTGGAGCAGTTTGTATTCTCTCTCTTTTCCTCCCTGCTGTACCTTTCCTCTGTGTCTCCCTCCTCTTCCTCTTCACTGCCCTGCACTGCCCAGGGAGCCAGGACATACACACTCCCTCTTTCTCTTTTCCCTCACCAAAACCTGTACACCACACAAACACATTAAAATGTTTTTTTATATTATGTATGTGTGTATGTGTATCTGTACATCTATATATCTATATCTGTGTACCTATACATATGTTTATACCTATATCTATCTGCCTATCTGGTATACAAATACATGTGTATATATGAATTATGTATATGGTATGCTATATATATATAATATATGTAGGAATAAATGGTTCATTTACACTATATGTTTGTATATATACACATATGTACACAATTATATTCACAATATTATGCACACATTGTATTTATATATATACTTATTGTATTTATATATATATGGTATTCATATACACAGTATTTATATATATATATATATGGTACTTATACACATAGTATTTATATATATTCACTATACACATTATCTACTAGCTGTGGTTTATAGTCTATCCCATCTATTATACTACATATAATAAATATGGGGTTTATATTTTGGTCTGCTGGGGGATTCAGCAGTGCTGGTGGTGGTGCTGCAGCCTCCTGACAAGAGCCAGCAGCCAAGGGAGTGAGGTGGGATGGACAGTTCCAGCTCTGAGCTGTGCTGGGTGCACACCTGGCCAGCAGAAGTGCCTGACCAGCTCCAGACTGTTTGGGGACAATGACCAGTGGCTGGTGACAGGGACATGGGAAGCTCTGACAAGGGCAGAGTGTGGCTGCAGCCCCCCAGCCCATGTCCCCTCTCTTCACTGGGCAATTGGGATGAGGTGCAGACCAGGGGCTGCTTCTGGAACAAACACTAAAGGGACAATGACCTCTGTCCCCAAGGCATCTGTGTTTAAGGGCAGAATCTCCCAAACCCTGTCAGTTTTTGGATACAAAGGCCCTTGGGCAACATGGGTGAAGCCCCTGCTGGTACCTGGATAAGGACTGGCACCAGTGCTGGAAGATGAGAGGTGACAAAGGACCCGTGTCTCTGCTGTGCTTCTGAGTGTCTTGGTGGCTCTTGGCAGAGCATGGAGAAGCCCTGACCTAATTTATTCTGACTTCCCAAGCCTTGGCCATGGCACAGCAGACCTGGCTGAAGGAGCTGGGCAAACATGGGCATGGTTTGAACCATGTTTGGCCAGGGTTGAACCCTGCTGGGGAGGCAGAGCAGAGGAGATGGAACATCCCCTGTGGTTCCCAGGAAAGTCCCTCAGGGCTCTTCCCATGGCCTTGGAGGTTTCAGTGCTCTGTTAATTGCCATTAATGGCAGCAAACGGGGCAGGAGGTGCCCACCTGGACCCGGGTTAAACGGCACTGAGGGAAGGGCCGTGCTGGCACTGCAGGACCTGCCTTGCAAATCACCTGCAACAACATGTGCCGTCCTGGTCACCTCTTCTCAAAAATGATAGTGCAAAATTAATTAGAATTAATTAATCAGAAAAGGGTAATAAGGGTGATTAGGCACCTGGGGAAAAGAAAAAAAATATTCCTGAAGAGCAATCGCAGCACCATGATTGCCTTGGAAGGTGGCGAGCGAGTGGGAGCAGGAGGGAGGGTGTGCAGGGAAACAAATGGGCTGGACAGAGGGGTCTGGGGGTGTTTTCTGTCTCCTCACACAAGGAATTACTGAGTGACAAGATTGAAACCCGTCAGAGGAAAAGCATTTCCCAGCAGCAGTGACCACGGGGAGGCAGCTGAGCCCAGGAAGGCACGGGCGGCTCTGCGGTGCGGCTGGAGCTGGGGCTGCTGCTGCTGCTGCCACTCTTTTTTGCAGATTTGGCTTTGCACAAACTGGCCCCGAGGTTGGAGGTGTCTCCAGCAGAGAGTGGGACTCAACAAGGAGTCCTCAAAGCTGGGACCCTTCTCCCCAGCTGGGCTCAGAAACATGGCAAGCTCAGGGACACTCACTTTAGTTTTCCTTTCAATTTTCAGCCACACTCTGTTACCTCAACGAAATTAATAACAATAATAATATAAAATCAAAGGTAACATTTGCAAACAAGACCTGCCCCTGAGCTAAGGCAACTGCTGCAGGTTTCATTGTAACCTGAGGGGCCAAAGCAGAGCCCCAGCCCCCGGAGAGGACAGCAGCAGCATTCCCTTCCTGCCATCATGAAGGGTTTGGCAATAGGGAAGGATGGAGGAGGTGGCTGGGGCTTAATGGAAAGAGCCTTCAGGAGCCCCAGTGCAGCTCAGTGAAATAAAGGATAAAAGTGCCTTTTGCTGGGGAAGCAGAGGCAGCAAATACTGCAGGCACCATGGAAGACACGTGGCATGGATGGGATGCAGGTGCCCATTGCCTGCTTGAAAACACAGGTGACAACTGGAGCGATGCAATGGCTGCTGGCAGCTTCAGTGAGGGGAAAACTGGTGGGTTTGGGTCATTGAGGTGCCTGTGCATGGGGACACTCACCCCCATGCACCTCCCAAACACCCCTCCTGCCTGTGAACAGCAAGGTGCCACCGCCCTGTGCTCAGTGTCCCCTCTCTGGTGACAAAGAGCCTTGTTCCTTTAAAACGTGGAGAACAAACTGCAAAAAGCAGTGCTTTTTGTGCACAGAGATGCTCTTACTGTGTCCCCTGCTCTGCAGTTGACTAAACACACTCCTGGTGTCAGCACTGAGCCCCCAGCTCAGGTCACTGCTGTCCCCAGCACACTCAGGTCCTTTCACAGGGACTCAGGGGACCTGGGTGCCCAAAACCTGCCCCAGGCTGATGTTTGCTTGCCCAAAGGTAGGGACTTTATTTCATATGTCCCATGGCAAGGGGGTCTATCCCTGAGGCCACATCCTGGTTGTGCCATGGATTTCTGGATGGCCATGGGCTGAGCAGCTCTGTTCTGGGGACAGCAAGACCTTGGTTGGGCCATTAGGACATTTTGGGAGAGGCAGGTGTAGGGAATGGTCCCTGCTCCCCCTGTGCCCATGCAGCACCGCCCCTCTGGCCACTGCCCTCTGACAGCTTTGGGTGCCTTCAAGCAGATTTTGTCCCTCCAAGTTTTGTGAAACTCGGTTTCTGGGGAAGTTGAGGGAAGGACGCGAGTCATACTAAACAGCAGAGAATCCCCACCAGCCTCCATTCCCCAGACAAAACTGTAGCCAGCCCAGCCTTGTCACTGTCACTGTCCCCACAGTGACACTGTCACAGCCCCACAGATCCTCTTCCGAGGGCCTTGGGCACTGCCAGGTCCCGTTAACCCTGTCCCGCTGGGGTGGGGTGAGACCCCGAAGGGGCTGGAGTGAGCTGTGCTGAGGAGGGGACACAGCTGTGCTGAGCCCTCAGCCCTGAGCGCCCCGTGCTGGCCCGGCAGGAGCGGCCAGGGGAGGGCACCGAGAGCGGGGGACACCCGGAGCAGAGGGGCCAGTGCCCAACTGGGCACCGGTACAGGACGGGGCGTGTGGGGGCCAGTGCTGGGGCTGTCAGTCAGTACCGGACAGTGTCGGTACCGGGTTTTGTTGGTGCCGGATTCTGTCGGTACCGGGTGTGCTGGTACCGGGTGTGTCGGTGCCGGGGTGTCAGTCGATGCTGCGTTCTGTGGGTGCCGGGTGTGCCGGTACCGGGTGTGCTGGTACCGGGTGTGTCAGTGCCGGGCTCTGTCGGTACCGGGTGTGTCAGTACCGGGTGTTCGGTGCTGAGTTTTGTCGGTACCGGATGTTCGGCGCCGGGCTCTGTGGGTGCCGGGCTCTGTCGGTACCGGGTGCGTCAGTACCAGTGTTCGGTGCCGGGGCCCGAGCGGGTCCCGCTCCCCCTCAGGACGCTCCGAAGTTCCCGCGGCGCAACGGCGGGACAACAGCGCCCCCTGGCGGCCAGGACGGGGCACGGCGGGAGGGGACGGGACGGGACCGGGACAAGGACAACGACGGGACAGGACCGGGGCAGGAGCAGAAGCCGGGACGGGGACCTCCGCGGCTACTTGTTCTAGCGACTCTGGGTCCCGTCACCCCCGTGCCAGCCGGACGGGCTCCCGTGGTAGTCTGCCCCTCAAGAACCGCGGGATATCCGCGGGCTGCCCTGGGGCTGCCCGGTCTGCCCCAGTCCTCTCCGGCCTGTCCCAGTCCATCCCAGTCCTCCCCCGCCTGTTCCAGTCCGTCCCAGTCGGTCCCAGTCCCTCCTGATCCGTCCCAGTCCCTCCCGGTCCGTCCCAGTCCGTCCCGGTCCCTCCCATTCCGTCCCACCACTGACCACCCCCGGCTCGCAGCGCCCCCGCGCGGGCAGCAGTGGGAGAGCAGGGCAGGTCACGTCCGTTGCGTCACGGTGACGTCATCGCCACGCCGCCGCCTGGTTGGTCCCCGCGGCCGCCCGTGCCGTGGGGGGGGCAGCGCGCGGCCGCCGCCGGAGGTAATGGGGGGGCCCGGGGGTCGCGGCCGCGGCCCGAGGGAGCGGCGGGAGCGGCACCCCCGGCACCCCCGGAACGCCTCTCCACGGGCCGCGGCTGCGGGGAGGGCCGGGAGGGGCCGGCGGAGCTGCCCGGGCCGGAGCCGGGGTAGGGCTGCAGCCGGCGGCCCGCGGGGTCCGCAGAGCCGCAGGCCTGGAGCGCGGGGGGGGCTCGGCCCCGGTGGGCGGGAGGCGAAAGGGCCGGGCCGGGCCTTGCAGCGGGGAACCGCCCCCTCGCACCGCACGGGGCTGCTGTACCCCCCCGGGCCCGGGACGGGATTCCCCTGGCGGCACAGCCACAACCCCTCGGCCTGGGGACCCCCGGCCGCGCACCCTCGGCCCTGTCGCTCCCCGGCCCCTGCCAGCGGCCCCGGGGCTCGGGCCCCTCGCCGAGGTGACCCCTCCACGCCGTGTGACCTCCCCCCCACGGCTGCGGCGTCCATGGGGCGAGTCCCGGCCTTCACCTGCCCCCAGTTCCGCGGGCCCCGGCCGCGTTTCAGGGGCTGCTTGGGCAGCAGGAAGGGTTCCGGTTCAGATTTAGGTTCGGGTTAGGGGGGCTGGGTGCTCTCTGCTGGTAGGCTGTGACACCCTGAGAAATGAGTCACCAGGGATTCACCAAGCCAAACCCAGGCGAAGGAATGGGGTCACTGCTGGGAGGGTGAGCCTGAGTCCCAGCCCGTGAGATCAGACAGGAGCACTGTCCGAATTGGAGTACAGGCAGGAGCCTGAAAGAGAACCCTCCATGCACTGGCTGCACTCGTCACTCAGCCTCTGAGCTAAGGGGCAGCAGCAGCTCCTGTCCCCCAGCCTCCCTGGGAGTCTGTCTGTGGGGCTGGGGTGTCTCTTACCTGTGGTTTCCTGGGGTCATGGTCACACTTACAGGACTAGAGGAGTGATTTGGTTAAATCCCATCTTCTCTGCTCCTAGATCACAGCGTAGACCAGCTCCTGGCACCACTGAGCCAAACTGGATTTCCACCAGTGACCTGTAAGTTGAGATGCCATGTCCCCCTTTCCTATCCCTAGGCTGTTCGATGCCACATGGGGCCACCAAACCTGTCTAAGCTGCCATAGAAAAGGTTTTGTGTCTAATGGGGTATTTGCCAGTAAATTCAAGCCATGAACTCTATATATTTCTTTATTTGGTAAAGGTGTTTGAAGTCCTTGAATTTACCCTTTGGCCACCTTAAATCTAGTTTCTAATCCCCAGCGCAGTTAATCAAATCCATAGTGGTTTGAATTATGAGATGCCTGGGGGCAATTTATAGCTTGTATTGCTGATTATACCTTGACTTTATTATATTGCAAATATCTAACTTATGGTCACGGCTGAGATTTACAATCCTCAGGTAGGTGCTCAGGGTAACTTTTAGCAACTCGAGATGTAATTGGAGGTGACTGATGGGGTTGTCGCCACACATAAACATGGAGTCTGTAAAATGTTAAGACAGGGAAAGAGGCAGAATAGGTGAAAAGGGTGGGTCAGCCTTAAAATATAATTGTATAATTGCACATATTGCTGAGCAAGGGTCTGCCATACCTGTTCTGGCTGAGGCATCTGCTCAGGGAGTGGTTTTGGGCTTGTTGGTCTCCAGAAAATACCAGGATTTAGATCTTTGTTCCTTCTTGCTCTCAGCTGAAGGTTTTTTTAGTTTGCAGTAGCCCTGGGGAGGGGGAAGGGGTGATAAACAGGTGTGAGGTGCTGCAGAGCTGACTCATTCCTCGCTGGTTTGGGTTCTCCCATCCCAGGGGAGCAGTGAGTCCCGTGCGGGCCTGTGCGTGCCCTCGGCCAGCATGACCAGCGAGGTGGTGGAGAACGAGTTTGAGTTTTACTCCAAGGCAGAGAAGTACTGGAAGGATGTGCCCGCCACGGTGGATGGCATGCTGGGAGGCTACGGCCACATCTCCAGCATCGACATCAACAGCTCCAGGAAGTTCCTGCAGAGGTTTCTGCGGGTAGGTGGCACAGTTTGTTATGTTCCTAAAACCCCACCCTTCTCCCAGCGTGGAGCTGGGCTCTTCCCTCTGAATTGCTCCATGGGATCCTGTGTGTGGCTGTCCCGTTTCTCCTCGGTGGGTGCCTCCCAGTGGGACTCACCCCTCACGGTGGCTGTTGCAGGATGGCCCCAACCGGACGGGGACAACCCGTGCTCTGGACTGCGGGGCTGGCATCGGCCGGATCACCAAGCGGCTGCTGCTGCCCCTCTTCAAGACAGTGGACATGGTGGATGTGACAGAGGACTTCCTCACCAAGGCCAAGAGCTACCTGGGCGAGGAGGGCAGGCGGGTGCGCAACTACTTCTGCTGTGGCCTCCAGGACTTCAGCCCTGAGCCAAACTCCTACGATGTCATCTGGATCCAGTGGGTCATCGGTGAGGGTCACTGTTTGTGGGGTCTTTCCAGCCTGTCCTGTTCCCTTGAGAGGGCAGGTGTCCTATGCACCTTCATGCAGCTTGAGGTCTGGATGGAGGATGAGCATCACAGCATGGGTGAGGGCCAGGGGTGGGCAGCTCATGGAGCCCCCATGGAGGGGCCCTGTACTTTTTCTCCCAAGCCCTCAGAGGCCAGAGCAGAGGTGTGGGTCGGATGGAGTTGAGTAGTGAGACACAAGTTGGACACCCCCAAGCTAAAGCTTTCCCTGCAGATGTCTCAAGTATTTGGTTCTGGAGGGATCCCAAATGCAGCCTCTGTGTTTCCTCCCCTTGGTCACCCTCTGCCCTCTAACCCCTGCTCTGCCCCTCCAGGACATCTCACTGATAACCACCTCTCCGACTTCCTGAAGCGCTGCCGTGCCGGCCTGCGGCCCAACGGCATCGTGGTCATCAAGGACAACATGGCCCAGGAGGGTGTGATCATGGATGATGTGGACAGCAGCGTCTGCCGGGACCTGGACGTGGTCCATAAGATCATCCGCAGAGCTGGGCTGCACCTCCTGGCTGAGGAGCGCCAGGAGAACTTTCCTGATGAGATCTACCACGTCTACACCTTTGCCATGAGATGAGGGCAGTGGGAGAAGGTCTCTCCCGTGTCGTGACTCCCCTTCCAGGGGCCGGTGACAAGGACGGGACTTTGTCTTCCAAGTTGCTGCTGTTTGTGAAAAGAGGTGTTTGCCAAATACATTTTCCTGCTGTTGCACTTCTGCACGTGAGGTCTGTCGGGTGCATGTTGGCTCCGTGCCACCCTCAGGGGCTCCGGACAGGAGCAGGAGGGTCTCCAACACATGAGGTGATCCATGGGCAGCTGCAGATTGCTGACTGCAGTGCACAGGGCTCCTGCTCATGAACTGGAGCTTGGGGCACCTTTGGCATGGACTGGGCTCCATTCCTTGCTTGGGTGTTTGACCCCTTGCTGCTGCTCAGCAATGAGCTGGGTAAGGCAAAGGGGAGAAGCCTCAGCTGTGTCCCTGTGGTGGTGTGGGGAGGCAACACCAGGTTCTGGGGCTTTGAGGGGGCCTCACCTTTAAACCCCTGAGCAGGTCACCCCATGGGCAGCAAAAAGAGAGGTGTGTGTGACCCCGAGTCCCCACATCCTCCTGCAGGGATAGGGGGACAAAGCCTTGCAACCCTGGGAGTGCACTGGGGTGGCCTGAGCTGCTCCCAGACCCATCCAGCCCATCACCTCCAGCTCCATCACTGTGACACTGTGCTCCCCCAACACCCCACACCATCACCTGGCTTTGAACATCCCCATCTCCTCTTTGGCCATGTTCCCTTCATTTACCCAAGTCTGGCCTCTGGCCCAAGGTGGCCAACACTGGCACAGCATCGTGCTGGGGTGAACCCAAGTGCAGAGTCAGCTGCAGCTCAACCCTCCAGCCATCCCCCCATTCCTGTCCTTCACCCCACCTCTCCTAAGGAAAAACAAGCCCCTTGTTAATAATAATGCTGTTATTATAGAAGGCCTCGTTTAATAGTTCAGTTCCCATTCCAGACAGCAGGACAGAATTTGATCACATTACTGGGTTTTTTTAAGCACCAGTTCATCAGGACACACAGTTCCAGTTCCAAAGGCCAGTGAATCCCAGATACACCTGATAGAAACTGTCTTTAACCAGAACAGATTTTTCCTCTTCATCTACTGCATCCATCCCCCATGAAAAACAGTACAAACCAACAAAACTGTGTGGGGCTCAGCTCTGTGACCAGCCTTTGGCATGTCACAAGGAAGCAGGTGCCTGGAAAGGGGAGCCAGGCAGCTGTGGCAGGGCTGGAACATGAGCCCTCCAGGTGCAGCAATTCCTTCTGGGAAGGAGGCACTGGAGAGTAAGATTCTGGGAGTGGTCACCAAGGGAAAGAGCCAGGGAATGGGGAGGGAGGCACAAGGCACTCAGCTGCTGATTGCCCATTCCTCCTCCTTGCACAGGGATTTTAGGAAACATCCCTTTGATGTGTTTTGCAGCGCAGTAACTCTGAGATGTCCTTGGTGGATGTTCCTCTGTGCCAGGATGGGGTGCAGAAACTCAGCCCCATTTCACTCCCATCCCCAGTGTCAGAAGCCCACACTGAGCAAGGAAGGCATCCACACCCACAGTTTGATGCCGGACCTGCTTCCACCACCAGGATCAGAGGCAGGAAAGCCAGAACACCTCTTCCTTCACCCAGCACCCTGAGGCATCTCTCAGCTCACTGGACACCTAAGGCACTGCATCACCCACCCATGGCAGGGCTGGGAGAGGGGACAGGCTGCCTGTCCAGTCACAGCCCCCAGGCCTTTGCTTAATCTCCCTCCAAACCAGCCCAGTACCCAGCTCCCCCATGCCCAGGAGCTCTGCCTGCCTCCCCATGACGTGCCCCAGAGCAACGAGACCTTCACAAACACAGCTGTGATGTTGTGCCCAGAAAAACACCCCCAGAATGCCACAGAGAGGGACTCCATGGGCAGCACCTCTTGCTGCAGAGAAAGCTGTCTCAGAGCAGAGCTGCAGTGGCTGTAGGCACAGCAGGGCTGTGGAGGGAGCGGACAGAGGCACTGCCAGGCTCACAGGTCCTCGTGGCCAGCGGCAGCGTGGTCGATGAGCAGGTACCACTTCAGCCGGTCTGGGAGAGGCAGAGCCTTGATTTTGTCACCCACAGGCCAGGGTTTGAGGCGCTGCCGGATGAACACCCTGCAGAGGTGTTTCAGTGCCTGCGGCGAGCGCTCCAGCTGCTTCAGAGAGCAGAACAGAGTCTGGACCTTCTCCCCGTGGAACCTGCAGCTGCTGGTGTTGACCTCAAAATTGCTGGGCAGCTGGATGGCTTGTGAACTGGCCATCATGAGCTCCAGCAGAGTCTGACCCTTCTGCATGAGGTCTGAGGAATACGTTTCATCGTTGAAGCGACTGAGGTGCCAGCAGAGGTGCTCAAAGACGATGTGGAAGCCAGACCAGCACGAGGGACCATGGAGGGAGCAGTTGTAGGCAGCACCTGACTCCAGCAAGAAGCGCAGCAGTGGGAAGTAGTCTTTGAAGCTTTTTAAGCAGAAGTGTGTGAGGGACTCTGAGGCTGGGCACTGGCTGGGGTTGGCACCGTGGGCCAGCAGCAGCTGCGTGACACGGAAGCAGAAGCGCTCGATGTCCTCGGCCTCCTCCTCGCTGTAGCTGTACGCCATCTCTCCCAGCAGGTAGATGACATAGGTGAAGACAGTGTCACCATCCTTGGTGGCAGCCCTGACATCTGCGCCTGCAGGAAGGGACAGAGAATGTCTGACACTGCAGAGTGTGAGGTCAGGCCAGCACCAACTCCAGCACCCCTGGGCTTTAGTCTGACTCCATAAAGGAGTCAGGAGGGCAATGCCTGGTGCTGCACAAATAATCAACCAGCCCAGAAAGAGGAGAGGGTTTTCTTTACCTCCTTCCAGCAGGAGACGGATGCTGTCGGTGTTGTGGATCTGGCCACTGTCACTGCTGGCCAGGGCATGCAGCAGGGCGGTCTTCCCTGCAATGGAGCAATCAGTCAGTCACAGGACAACAGGGTGACACCCCAAAAGGCAGGAAGGAAAACAATCCACCCCACCCACCAGAGAGCCAAACACAGGGAGTGACAACCCTTCTTCTGGCAGAGGCTTCCACTGTTCCCATGATGGTGCCCAGCTGTGGGCACAGTAACAGGCACACAGGCAGGGTTAGTGGTGGTCTCAGTGGGCATATGTGCCACGGCAGAGTGAGTTTTAGAGCAAGTGGGCACCACAGAATGACAGAGGCACAGCCCCACCCCACCTCCCCTGGACTGCACAGAGCTGGGTTCAGCCCTTTTCGCACAGCCAGCACACCAGGAGGAAATACTGAGTGCAGGGAGGTTCTGCCAGCTTCCTCCCAACTCCCAAACCCGACTGAGAGCAGGGAGCAGGTGCAGCAGCAAATGGCCCCAGCGCTGTGCCCTGCCCTGCCCACCCTCAGCTGGGGGAGCTGGGTGGGGTGCACAGACCGTTCTTGTCAGCAGCGTTGACGTCGGCCCCCAGCTGCAGCAGCCGCCGCAGGCACGGCAACCGCTCGGGCTCCTCGCTGGCCAGGTCCAGGGGACTGCTCTCATGGATCTGCACAACAGTTAAACACAGTTAAAAAACACTGGCAGATACTGAAGACTGTGAGTGTCTGCAGGGAGTCGCTGTTGGGGTTTTATCTTGGCCACAGCAAGAGTCTCTCCAGCCTCCTCCCACATTGCTCCAAGGCAGGGGCTCAGCTCAACCTGACCTGCCTCAGCAGCAGAGCACGGACAGCGGGCACAGGGATGTGCCAAGGGGGAGCAGCACGGGGTGAGGCCCGGGAGGAGGGAAGCAGGAGGGCTGTCCCTCACACCAGAGCAGTCAGGCCTGGGGGCTCAGCCAGGAGCGAGGCCGTACCCGGTCTCTGCGGTTGATGTCGGCGCCGTGCTGCACCAGGAGCTCCACCACGTCCGGCTGGTTGCGCAGCACCGCCATGTGCAGGGGCGTGTAGTACGTGACCGGGTCTGAGGACAAAAACAGTCAGAGAGAACAAAACGGCCCCAGAGCCTGCCAAGAGTGGAAGGGGACAGCTGGGGAGGGCCCTGGGAGCACAGTGATGCCTGGACCCCAGGTCCTGCTGCTCCAATGGCTCCATCCTGCCAAAAGCCCCCGAGTCCCTGGTGTCCCTCAGTCCATCCTTGTGGCTGGGTCTCCACAAGGCACATCCACACTGCTCCAGCAAGGAGCAGGAGTGTCTGAGCTGGTAGCCCCCCCCTCTTTCTGCCCCAGCTATCCCCCCGCTCACAGGGCAGCTTCTCATCTGCTGGTTCCTCCTGGCCCAGCCCCCTTCCCACCAGCCTCACCTTCAAAGCTGAGGTCAGCACCAAATTCCAGGAGGATTTCTGCAGCTGGGACGAGCCCCAGCTCGGTGACCTTCAGCAGGGCATAGCTCACACCTTCCTGATAAAATGGGGAGTGGGTCTCCCTCTCCAGGACTCTTCTCACGGCTGAGAGCTGGCTCTTGTCACTGTCCAGGCAGGCAGGGCTTGAGACACACAAAAACCCAGCAGTTACTCAGTGAACATAGCTCAGGTGTGCGAGGGTCAAAGTGGCACCAGGGAAGAAGGAAAATCCCTGGTTTTACCTCTGGTCCTGTACCCAGTGGGTCTCTGACCTGCTGGCTGTGGGGTTACAGAGAAGCCTCAGGGCCTCAGCTGAGCCCCAGTTCAGGCCTTGTTGCCAGGGGTCAGGCAGAAAGGGCCTTTCCTGGGGAGCCCCCACAGCTCCTGTGTTTGCCTTGCTCCACCTCCACATTCCCGAAGAACAGAGGGTCTGTGGGATGAGCTGCTCCCCAGGACTGGGGGCTGTCCAAGCCAATGCTGTCCAACCCCATCCACCTCCCTGAGCTCCAACCACCCCGCAAAACACCCCGGGGTGTTCAGCCCCCTGCTGTTACCTCTCCAGGGAGCTCTGCCCTTCGGTGTCAGGCGTGGCCAGCAGCCCCAGGAGCTCATCCACCAGGGGCTGGTACTCCAGGACGATCCTGCGGAAGCCGTGCAGGAAAGGCATCGTGCTCTGCCCGTGCACCCCCTCCTGGGGGCCTCCAGCACGGCACCGCTGTCCTCCCGCACCCCGGCCCCTCTCCGAGGGGCTTCTCCCTCCTTTCAAAACAAACAAGGCTTTCAGCAGGTCTGAACGTAGAAAAAAACACAGCCTCCCCCTCCTTATATAAAGGC